TTGCTGGCTGGGGAATTCTGGGAGTTGAAGTCCTCCAGGCTTAAAGTTGCCAAGGTTGGAGACCCCTGTTCTAAATGCTGCTTGCTCAAAATAAAGGCACCTCCATTTGCTCATGCTCAGGGGAACTCTTAACGAGAGACACCTACAGTGCTCGAAGCTGTCAACAGCCGCCCAGAGCAGCACACCGTTTACCGCTCGCTGGGTCTGCCGTCCAACGTCCTCCGTTCTTCCAGCCCCACACATTCCTCCATATTCCCCGGCACCCCAAGGCTCAGGAAGAGACCGCTCGGTTTACGACAGCACTGAATCCCTCTTCTTTAGCCCCCTTCTCCTCAGGCTCCGTCCCAGGAGACGAGGAGGGTGACACCCCTGCCAAAAAAAGAACCCGGAAGGCCTCCCCGACCGTCGATACGTTCTCTAATCCTGCACTTGCTCACCAACACCAACATCCCCACCAGAGCCTGCGGCCTACGACGATTGCCACAGGAAAACGTACGCTGACGACAAAACGCCAAGCAACCAATCGGGCCTCGCTTCTTCCCCACCTTTAGAAACGGCCTCTTTTGCCCTGACCCAAAATGGCTGCCGCACCATAGCTTCACAACCTTGAGAGAGAGAGAGAGAGAGAAAGCGAAGGTGCTCAGGTTCCGGGTTCAGTTTTCCTTAACTTTTCTTTCCTTTTATTTATTACATTTATACGCCGCCCGTCTTCTCTCTCTCTCTCTCTCTCTCTCTCTTTCTACCAAGCGATTGTGAACGGCTCACGGTACCATACTCCACCAAGTCGGAACTACTTCTTCTCAAAGAATGCAGCGCGAGGTTTCTGGGAACGGCCATTCATGCATCTCAACGGCTGCAGTAGGGATTTAGCTCGCCGGCTCCCTGCTGCCACTGAAAAGCCGTTTTCTGTGCGGCTTTTTATTATTGTTATTATCGTTATCGTTGTTATTGTTATTATTAGTATTATTAATTTATTTCTTTAGTGAGATTCACAGCCTTTGTGGCTGGTTGATAGCTCAACAGGTCGACTCATTATTATTATTATTAGTAGTAGTAGTAATAGTAATAATTTTTATTAGAGAAGTTTTTGGAAAAGTTAGCATACATGCTGTTTAAATTTAAAAAAAGAAAGCCGAGGTCCTGGCGAACTCGGTTGGCCGAGCTGGAGCTGTGGCGACCACACCCCCTTCGTGGTGCTTTTTGAAACTACAATTCCCAGCACCCCTCGCGGTCCGGAACTCCTAAGGGTTAAGTTATCCACGGAAAATCCCACCGGGGGGGGGGGGGGCTTTGGTTCCGCCGCCAATCGGCTTCTTTCTGTCAAAACATGCGGCTGCGCCTCCGCGGGGTTCCACCCCCTTTTTGGTTTACGGTTGCTGGTCTACGGCAAGCAACTTCCGTTCCTTATATATCCGCCTTCCGTTTCCTTCTCGGCGGTCTGGTGGTGGTGTGTATGTTGCTCTCTATCGTGCCCGGGTAAGCGTAGCAAGGCTAGCAGGAGGTCGCCCTGGGAGACCTGGCAAACAAAGCTGGAAACTGGGATCCTCAAGGGGATGCTGACCGAAAGGGGAAGCCAAAGAGCCTTTTCAACGGTATCTGATGTTGAACACGTGTAATTGGATTGCTAGGGGCACGTACTGCATGTATCCATCCATCCTACGAAAGCAATAGCACAAAGACTTTTATATACCGCTTCGTAGTGCTTTTACACGCTTCAGCTGCCCCCCCCCCCGTGGCTGGCGAGGATTGCACTCTTGAAGGAACAAGGTGTCGCTCACACCTTTTTCAAGTAAATCTGCAAAGAGGAGAGTCCTTCCTTTCCTTTCTTTCCTCCCCTCGTTCGTTTCCCTTTCCGTTTCCCTCTTTCCAAGAAATGCGAAATAGGGTTGAAAGTCAGTATTGGGCTTCCCAGTTTCTCCCAGTAAGACAAGTTGAAGGACAGTCCGTTTGAAGTCAAACATCTGTTTCATTCACGTTTGTGTAATATGTGTACGTCATAGATAATTATTACAATTTTTATGTATATATAGTCCACTCTTTGGGACTGCAATAGGGACTAGCAACTTGGTTGCTAACTGGAAGATTGCATAACCCGTTGAAATGTTATTTCCTCCTCCTCTATTAACTCTGCTTGTTGCAAGCCAGTTATGAGGTGCCTGAATGGTGACAACGTAACCGTGGCATGCTGCAATGGTTGTAAATGTGGGGATCGGTTGCAAAATTGTTTTTTCCACTGTTGTAACTTCAACCGTCACTGCACAAGACACTAAGCGAGGATGATTTGTAATAACACTAACTGGACTAATTTCTGCTTGTTTTGTCTGGAGTCACATATGGCAGCATATGTATTGTATCTCTAGGAAGATACAATGAAAGAACACTTTAGTTTCTCTCTTTAGCTTTCTTTTAATCTTTTAATATCAACAGCTGTTAACACTTTTGTGTGACCAGGTTTTAAAATTATTTTCAGTGTCTTCACTATTCATGACATCGCTATTTGTATAGTCTAAGGCAGGGGCTTCAAACTTGGCAAGTTTAAGACTTGTGGACTTCAACTCTTAGAATTCCTCCTCCAGTCATGTTAGCTCATTCCAAGTTTGAAGACCTTTGGTCTCTAAGGGATACATCTGTCTCATCAGTTCAGTCATATTTCAACCTTTTGTTGTTTTCCATCTGCATGCACAGTTTATAGGTAGGTGGTTTATATTTCACGCTGGTTGGTAGGATATGTTGTCATTACTATTCATGCAAGAAGAATAGTTGTAGCACAGAGGTGTCAAACTCGCGGCCGGCTGGCTGGATGCGTCATGCGCTGGCCATGCCCGCCCTGGTTTAGCAAAGGGGGAAAAGTTACAATGCCACGAGTTTGACACCCCCTGCACCAGTTGTATATACATGCATTATATCAATTATGTGCATGCTTTGGTGGAAGAGATGTGTAGAGGTTCGTTCATTTGCATTAATCATTTTTTTTCTTTTAACAGGGAAAAAGTTTGCACGTTTAGGATAAAAATGACTTTTCCCTTGCTTTCCTAAATACAGGGATGAAAATAAAGGCAAATTTATTCACAATGTTGGCTTATTAACATTCTTGCTGGCATCACCAGAGCACTTTTTAAAGGCTTAACAACTGGAAAACTGGTTGGAAAGAGCACATACTCATCTGTTTTGCCTTTTCTTTGGGAAAAGATGTCTTCCTTCAATGCATTTCCACTGCTTTGAGCAAATTAGCATTGGAATGAATTAATGTCCTATCCAAAAAACATTGGTTTCATATTCTTTATTTTTCCCCTTCTGAGTATATATTCTTTCCTCAAAAAACCATCTTTTCTAGCCTACACATTTTCACCTAATTGATAAATTTTTTATAGCCTGGAAGTTATCTATATATCTTCCAATCCCACATTTCCCTTGAACAGTTTTACATTTATTAGCCACAAAGTTTGCCAGCCCTTGAGAAAATAGAAAGGCAATGTATTTTTTTCCTTAAATTGAAGACCTTAGAGAAAGTATAAAAACATGTAAGAATGAGACTCTATTCTTTCTTTGAAAACAGTTTTTAAAAGTTTCAAAGTAAATAGAAAGTAATTCCAGTATGCTATTAAAGATGGTGGGCCAGAGTAGGAAAACCTTTGTGGCGTATCATTTTCAAACTGTTTGAAACTTGTGATGTATTCATGTGACATAGTATACCATGTTTTTCTCAGCTCAATATTCTGGGTTCAGATAGCACCAAAAAAAATAAACATGTGAATTAAGTTCACACAGTATGAAAGAAGAAGATATTATGGTAGGTTTATTTGTGATTCAGTGTGCTGTGGGAACCCCAATGTAGATTTCTAGTGGAGCATTATATCAGAGAACAAAATCCCATAAAGGAAATCATACTTTTATTACCATGAAAAGTCAAGAAAAACAACAGAGATGACTCCATAGTTTAGGTAATGTTTGAATTATTGTTCAAATAAGAATATAGTGTGATACTTTAATCATTAGAGGGAAATGAAATCAGAAAACTTTATATAACTGCATTATTAGCTATGGCCATTCTTAAAATTAGTCTTGGATCATAACACAATCTGGCCAAGGTATGCTAATTATATTCTATCCTTAGTTTTCTCCAGTGAAGCTTGTATCAAATATATTGGGATTGCTCTTCCTAGATTTTCCAACCAACATAAAGTGATCAAAATACATTTAGTTATTTTAGGATTTGGTAACTTGCTATTGGTAAAATTGTTGAGAAATACTGCTGTGGAATTTAACAATGTTAGAACAAAACTTCAGTCACTTGGGCCAAGCTCACATTATTTCCTTTCTGCAATCCAGTTAAAAGAAAATTAAAGCCAAATGCCTTTCCTACCATTGGAATGTTTAACTGAACCAAGATTTAAAATAAAATTGACTTTCTTTAACAAAGCACATACAGTGAAATCAAAATAAAGAATTTATCAAATGTAAGTATGGTGAAAACACAGATTCAACATGCAAACAATCCTGTCAGGAACATATTTTTCTACTCTGGAATATTGTCTTCCTCCTGGCTTTTATTTCCCAGAAACCAAAAAAACGACTTGTTTTTTGTATTCTTCCTTGTATTTTGCTTTAGTACTACTTTAGTACTACTTACAGACATAGCATGTGTTTTTCATGAAAAGTCATTCTTCTCTAATCATTTACATTTCCTTGAAAACATATATCCTGTTCTCCCAAAGACCTTTCTTCTTGTTCATTGTTTTACACCCCATTAATTTCACCTTTTTTATATTGCCTTGTACAAATAGCTCATTGATGGGCTCTCTGTCCAAGGCTGTTTAACTTGTGCTATATTACAGGACAAACTTTTGTGAGGACCTTTAGCTTAGTCTAGTACAGGGGTGTCAAACTTAAGGCCCAAGGCCTGTGGAGTGCATAAATCTGGCCCATGGGGCTGGCCTGGAAATAGCAAAGGACCAGCCCACGGTACCTCTGACAGCCAAAATGGGGCACAGGAGGGCATGCACAGCCTCCTCCACCCCACCCCATTTTGGGCCCGGACTGCCTCCTGCATCACTTTGCCAGCCAAAATGGCAAAGAACCCTGTTTTGGCTGGCAAAGTGCTGCAGGAGGCCATCCAGGCCGAAAATGGTGCTGCAATGGTGCAATGGTGCTCCATCTCTCCCCTCCCCCCACCCCCCACCCCCATGCTGATCCAGCCCTTGAAGAAATCCAGTTTGTCACCCTTAGTCTAGTAATTTATCTTCCTAGATAGGTAAAATAGAGCTTGCAACTGTCAAAAACTCAAGAAGAGCTATAAAATAAAGGTAAAACAAAATGTTTAAGCAAGCTAGCAGCCCCCTCCTTCTACCCCATTTTCCTGCTCCTATACCCATCCCGAGGGACTTCCTTATGATTGTACTTATGTATTTTTCCTGCAGTGTCTCTGATATATACTTCTGAGCTGCTTACCTGCCCCATCTTGCTTCCTCTTTAAAATTACTCTGTATATAC